AAAAAAAAAAAAAAAAAAAAAAAAAAAAAAAAAAAAAAAAAAAAAAAAAAAAAAAACCATTTTACACTTCGTTTTTGCACTCGAACAGCTTCCCTCTACACCACTACCACGTCTTATCAATAATTTCCGAATAATCCGCCACCACCAGCTGTCAATGCACATATTATGCCCTGTCGGTTTCATGATGCCCTACGAATGTCTGTTACGTGTATTCGAGATTATATCGAGTAGGGAGAAAAAAAAGAAGAATAGTATAGGCACCTATCGTCACTTCTCGCGCGTGCAAAGCCAATGACGGCGCTTTGCGTTCATCCATTTTGTCTGCGTGTTTTCGCTTCGATTCGTGTATACAACCGCGGACACCTGTAATGATGGATTAGGTTGTTGGAGAGAAAACTATACGTGTGGATATAGTAAGTAGTGTACATTCGACGACAGAGATCCATACTTGTCAAACTCTTCGTACACCTACATACGTACATACGTAACTTCCACGTGTCTTTTATTTTTTTTTTTTTTTTTCCTTTCCCCTATTTTTGCATGCAGCACTTGGTTCCGTTGTACATATATGCATGTCGTCTAGATGCACATAAGTTGGCTTACAAGAAAATATGACCTGATTCTTATGCGGCGTTGAGAATATAGATTTTGTAATTTATATCGCGGGCGCACAAGTTTTATTAGACAAGTTTCAAAAATGAAAATGCAAAACGACGAAGGCTCTTTTTTTATTTTTCTCATTGTATGCGAATAATTTTCTTTTCATTTTCTTATTAAATCGTCTTTGCCGATCGACAAATGTTCGTACCATCGACAGCAAGTATTAAACTCGACGATGCGTTATTTTAAAAAAACAAAACAAAATCGTTTACAAGAAACATGTAGTTGTTGATTTGTTTTTTGTTTGATTGGCAGAAAAATCGACATCGACCAAGTTCTCGAGGATCGAGTAAAAAAAGAAATTTGGCGCAGCACAAACACACTCACACATCCACGCTAGAATACGCACAATTTTACAGCAGAGGAGTACGGCTCTCTTGAACCTGCTTTTTGCATCTCACTTTCACGCGCATGGCTATAACAGACTTTTTTCTTCATCCTACAGTCTTTCATACAAACTAGTTACTCTTTTGACTTTTTGAGCTCACCCACGCATAGTTTCACGAGGAGAATCAACTCGACTGATACCGCAAATTGACGCAATTGACTAAGCCATTTATTTTTTC